GCACCCACGGGGACACTACTCGAAGAAGAAAAGGGAGTTACTCACCTTGTGCAGTAACGACTGTTCTTCGAGATGTGCGTCCCCGTGGGTGCTCCACGACCCTCCCTACCTCCCCTCTGCTCGGAGTCGAAATTACTCAGGCGGAGACGAGGAACTGAAAGGGAGGGGGATGAGTCACACTCCTCAGGAGGCGGCAAGGGCTCGAGACGCCTCCTGGGCATGCGTGACTCAACAGGGGAAACTGCTATAGAAAGCTCCGATCTGAGGCTCAGGGCGACCCTTCACCCTACAGTGGAGCACCCACGGGGACACACATCTCGAAGAACAGTCGTTACTGCACAAGGTGAGTAACTCCCTTTTTCTTAGTTAACAGGCCTAAACCTCCTGATCCAGACCTCTCGCTAGGCTTGTCCCAAGGTCACACCATACTTACTGACTGATGCTTGGCTTTCTTGCTTTCCTGAGGATATATCTACATTGCACTCAGGAAATGTGATTTTTAGCTTGCATAGGCACAGTACAGCTCTAACTAGAATCCTGAGGTCATGTTTGAGTAGCTAGTCCATCATACCTCTACTACACTGCTGTTTTTGCTTGAGCTAGCTTTGATTTAACTTGATGAAAGCTAGTTTAGGTCTGTATTACATTTGCTACAATCACATCTCCCATTGTCTGTATAGACATACACTAAATTCCAAATTTACACTACAGAGTTTAGTTAACACAAGTATCAGAGGGGTAGCCGTGTTAGTCTGAATCTGCAAAAGCGACGAGGAGTCCTGTGGCACCTTATAGACTAACTGAAGTGTAGGAGCATAAGCTTTCGTGGGTAAAGACCCACTTCGTCAGATGCATGAAATTAACACAAGTTACTTTGGAATATGACAGCCAGCTTTTGTATATCACTTGGCTGTGTAGGTGCCTTGCATTCTCACCTCAAGTGGTTGCATCAATAGAAAATGTGGTACATCATCGTTAATATCCAATATGCCCTGCATCACTATCCTACTCAATATTTTGTTAAACATTTTTGCAGTGCTTTGTGGGATAGAAGCAATTTGCCCAGGGATGTCTGGAACTAAAGGTTAAGTTCCCAGTCCCAATATGCTTGTTCTATCTCAGAACATTTGCATTGTTTTTTAAAATCTCCACTGTCTACATGCTGCTTGACAGTCTCTACCATCTTCTGACTCAGCTCAGCAAAATGTTAATAATCACTGCCAGATGTACTATTTTTCTTAGTGGAGCATGAATAAATATTACAACTGGAGATGTGAGGAGAAAAAAAGAGATAAGGAATAACACATAACTAGATACTGGGCACCGTGAATGAAAATGCCAAGTTCCCACTTCTGGGCCTGAGAAATGAGTGGTGATTGGAGGGATCACATTGTAATGCAGGTTTGGGATGATGAACAATGGCCCCAGAACTTTCAGATGCAAAAGGTCATGTTTCTGGATCTGTGTGCTAGGCTAAATGCACACCAGAATGAGAGCTGCACTGACAGCGGAGAAGCAAGTGACCATTAAGTTCTATGGGTTTATAATGCCAGTTTGCCCTGCCAGTGACCAATCAATTTGGTGTTGGAAAATCCATAGTTGGGGCTGTTGTCATCTAATTGTGCAAGGCCACTACGCATTTGCTTCTGTATAGGATTGTGACTCTTGACAAAATGCAGGAAATCAAGGTGGATTTGCAGCAGTAGGACATGTATCCTTGTTCAAGTACCATTTCACCTTGCTAGCAGATATTAGAAAAGCATCCCTGTCTGTTTACGGTTCTGAAAATGCTAGTGGATAACAGCTACACTTTACTGATATCTGCATGGGCTGGTCGGGGAAGGTGCATGAAACTCCTGTGTTTAGGAACACAGGACTTTTCCAGACGCTACAAGAAGGGGCATTCTTTTGTGACCAGGGCATTATCGTTGGTGATACTGATAATGCCTATAGTGATTCTGGAGGGGCCCAATCTTTTGCTTTTTGATCTGGCTCGTGAAACCATACCTATGCTACCTGGGCATCACCAAGGAAAAGTGAACTATTACTCAGCAGAATGACTGTTTAATGTGCCTTTGGTAAACAAGAGTCTGGTGCTGTTAAATCACTAGCTTGAGTATCAGTGAGGCAAAAATATCCATCATTATTATAGCTATAAATGATTGTGTACAGCATGATAACTCTGAGGCAAAAGGCTGGACTGGTTGTCTCCTGAATTTGAACAGCTAGACACAAGCTATTAGAAGTGCTACCCTGGAGTGATGGAGCTCAGGGAGGTTTTAAAAGACTATTGTAGCAGTCAGCCAGAGCAATATTATGTGATGCTTTTATGAACTAGTGTGCTTTTGGGTGTATGGTGAGTTACTGACTCCTGTTATGAATTTTGTAATGCAGAAGTTAAGCTTGATGGAAGTTAACAAACATACTGAATTTCTGGAAATAAAATGTTATTATGTGCAAAGAAACAGGAAACAAAATTAAAGTGCAAAACACAAGGTAAAGACATTTTAGCAGCATTGTAACAGGGTAACTAGTGCTGTAAAAATCCAGACAAGCAAAAAAGATTTTCATGTATGTATTAAAAATGTATGTTTGTCATGTTATAAAACATGTAATGCATTGTGGCTGATTTTATGGTTTACACATCTTGGTGTATGTATAGTTATAATTCTTCTTGTTTTTCCCTCTGGCATGGAATGGAAGAAATAAGGCTTCAAACTATGCAGCAATCTATTATGATGTGTATAGAGGGTGGGGAAGGGATGTGCATGGAGTAGTGACTATGGTTTATAAAGGCTACTAAACCTGGGGTCTTTGGATACATCGGTTGATAATGCTCTGCAATGTGTGAGGATGTTGTCTTACCAAACCCTTGATATCATGGTGCACTTCTCAGCTCTCGAGTGTATCACTACAGCCAGGGGCGGCCCGTCCATATAGGCGAACTAGATGGTCGCCTAGGGCACCAAGTTAAATAGGGCGCCAAATATCGTTGAGGGGTTTGGAGGTGGGGGCACCGATTGCATTGGTTGCCTAGGGCACCAGTTGCTGGCAGCTAATCTAGGGCTGCTTCTGACTACAGCACTGCTCTGCAGGTCAAACCATGGAGTACAGGCCCTGGCATAGCATGAAAGGGGAAGGTAGCACAGTGTTGCATAGAAGTTTAGATGTGGGTGTCCTTGGTATGATTATAAGAAAATTGTGGTGGATATTGCCAATATCTTCACTGGCAGTGGTTATTTTGGCAAATATCTCCCTTTTGCGGTGACCAATACACAGAGAAAATAGCTTCTACTAGTGTCCTGAAGCCAGCCTGGATACATATGCTGCCAGCTTGTTTACTGCAATGGTAGCAATGGAATTCATCTCAGAGTGGTGTGGGAAAGTGTGCTATTCCAGATAAAGAAATGAGAGAATACAATCCCTTGAAATGTTTGGGAGACTATTCCAGAGTATCTCCATGAAAGTTCTAGCAAGATCTCTTAAGAGGATAAAGAGGAAATTCTTGCTCAGATAAACAGCATTCCATGTGTTCCCTGCCTAGCCCAACAAGTCATAGAATGGAACTGCATTACCCCCCCCCCACTAACTCTGAGTACAGAAAAAAGCTCTGATGTGACTTATGTATTTAGACTGCTATGCTATTTACAAAAAATATTCTTGATATTTAAGTTTCTAACACACAAAGCAATCAAAAGCCAATGACGCTGTTATCTAATTGCAGATGGGATAGGGGTCTTCTCCAGATGACATGTTCATTATGGAAGAAGCAGGCCCATGGAGCAGTATCAAATTTGTTATTTGCATCCCTTGCCTTCTGTGTCTGCTGAAGTTCCTTCACTTTCACTGACACCACTGTCATCCATGTTCTGCTCCAGTTTCTGCACAGAGATGTTTCTTTGGTTATTCTTTATCTGTGCTTTGCCATCTCTTCTCGCATGCTGAGGTGCTTAATGACTTCTTTCCTGCTTCAGGCAAACGTACATCTGGTTGTTTATATGTGTGTGTGGAACCAGCATGGACAGACGCGTGCAAAGCTGAACTATTGGGTGTGCTCAGGGGAGGGTGGACAATCAGGAAAGGACATTTCAAAAAGGCAGTTAGGGACTTTAAAATGGTGGAGGGTGGACAGACATAATCAAAATAACACTCATTGGAACTCTGTGCCCACATGGTCCTAGTTTCTGGGTAGACTGTTAGGACTTGTTTTAGGTGTGGCCTTTTAACTGTTTCTATAGCTCTCTTCTACACTCACCCCATCATCTCCAAATTGGTTTTAATTCAGCCCTTAATGCTCAAAACACAGCCATATGGCAGTGAGCTGTCAGTTTGGAATTTAGCAAATTTCTTACACTTCTTGGAACAAACATTCTGTAACTGGAATTTTGGGTTATTTTTTTTTTTACTATAGGTAATTTATTCAGTTCAGAGACACCGTCGTACGCAAGTGCAATGGCAAATCCTTTTAGAACAGGCATTCTACTTGGAGGATGTGGCGAAAAATGAAACCAGTGCAACTCGTCAGTTTGTTCATACTTTTCAGTTCCAAGAACCTGAAAACAGAATTACCCGATATTTCTACACACCTACTGTTGGTATGTGTTGAATTCTTAAATGACTATAATTCATACTTTCCTGTCAAGAACATGGCATCTTTTCTCCTATGTGAGTAATAGTCACTTATAATACTAGTAGGCAAATCTACTTAATTTGCAGGAAAATTAAGAGCACTTAGATATTATATAATGGCAACCTCCATGAAAATTTCTAAAGCTTTTTCCTAGATGCAACTTTTTTTCCCTGCAGTAACATTATCAAGCAACACATCTGGAAAATTATTTAGCAATAACTCATTCAGTGCAAGTCATCCTGCCTTCTGTAATCTGTAACTCCTTAGAGAGGGCTGCTTTCAGCTCTCCATGCCTTTAAGTTGTCCCAGTACCATTGTGTTGACTCCTCCACCATCCCCTCATACCAGAGTATGGGGAAAAGATATTATGCTCTTGCATACATGCTTGGACCCCAACCCAATTTTTGCTTTCTTTAGCAGATGCCTCTCATTATCTTACTTCCATTTCTAGTTTATCAGGGAACTAATCCACTATAGATGAACTATAAACCTGCCAAAGTGCAATATGAATGTAATAACCTAATCTGTTCTCTAGGTCCCTGAGAGTACATCTACACAGCAGTGTTATTTCAGAATTACTGTCGTTATTCCAAAGTAATATAGTCTACTACACTACAAGCAGTTATTTCGACATAATGTCAAAATAATGTTGAGCTGGTGGGCTTCTTACTCCGACTCCTGTAACCCTCATTTTATGAGGAGTAAGGGAAGTCAGAGGAAGAGTGCTCTTTCTTGGATTTCCTGCTGTGGAGACAGTGCCAAAAACTGCAACAAGCTATTTCCACTATGCAGTGGACGTAGCTCAAGTTGAGTAGCTTATTTTGGCTTTAGCCCTGCTGTGTAGACATGCCCTGAGTAGTGGAGAGGCAAAAATCCTATACCAAGCCAATTCGGCTGTTTGGGAAAAAATTCTTCTTACTGTCAAAAAGGTGACTGGCATGGTGCCTGCAGCAAATTGCAAAAACCTAGGCTTGCTCTATTCCCAAAGAGAGGAGCTGCTGCTCCTGAGTGAAGAATAGATCCTGAAAAAGGGAAGAGTTAATAAGCCCTCCCCTTGGGTGCCAAAATTAGTAGTTCTGTTGTGCACCATTCTGACAGTTGACCAAGGAGCACCCTCTATTTCACCTCTTCAAGTTCCTGAGGAGGGGAAAAGAAGAAAGGTGGGATGCAGTCATTAAAGGAACCAAAGGTTCCTTTCCTTTGCCACAGACTCCCCCAGCCTTGATCTGTGAGATATGGAAAACACTGTCTAAACTAGTAAAAACACTAGTTGTAATTATGCTAATGCATACCAGAGCATACATCTTGTGCACAGGTAGAATCTTCACAGTTGAATAATAAATACTTAAGATTCTTCTTTGAGGAGTGTTTTTGGGGGCAGTCCACTGTAGTGTGTTGGCATTTCTGCGCTGGAAATGGGAACATTTTAGCAGCAGTATCCCCCCAGGTGCCGGCATGCATGTGCAGCACCGCCAGTTGGCACAATGCTATTTTGAAAATTTCCATCTCTTCCTATTTCTTATATAAATTGCATTAATCGGCTACTTATTGCGTTTTTTTCCAGAATGGTACTGGGAGTGTCTTCTTCGGCCTTGGTTTTACAGAATTCTTGCTATTGTTTTGGCCACGTTCTCTGTAATTGTTGTATGGTCAGAATGCACATTTTTCAGCACTAAACCTGTTCTATCCTTGTTTGCTGTCTTCATACAACTGGCGGAAAGAACTTACAACTATATTTACATAGAGGTCAGTTTGAAATAAAACAGTCTTATTCAGATATTAGTTCCTATAGTAATGATGATGACTATGTTTTTTAAACTTAATACTTGTAAATGATTATGTATGAAAAATTAACTTCTGACTACTGAACCACAGGTGTTCTCTAAGCTTTACAGCTACTAAGACTAATTTTGTGGAAGTCTCTCCTCCTCTGTGCACCACTCTATTACAAGCAAAGGAGTTGGACCCAATTCAGTCATATGTAAGAACTAGAATAACTAACTCTAGCTAAGTAGACATGGTTTGATGATGTGATATATGGAACTTTTCATTTTCTTATCATCTGGGCTAATTTCTTTGTCAGAGTTCTCAATTTGTACAATATTTGCTCCGAGTATACCAACTTGCCACCAAAAAGGAAGTTCATAATCTTAGGAGCTATGGATGGCTTTAAGAGACACATTCCTTGCAGGAACTGACCCCAACATTTGCACTATGGTGATAAAACTACAGGAACTTTAAAACTCCTGTTTTATTATTAGACTGTCCTGTATAAGTCAAGAAAGAACTCCCAAGCTACTTATAGTGGTTTACTATTCATCTGTTTCTTTGTTCAACTCATCACCATTGTCTTGCAACTATGCAGCCTATAACATGCTTGAGTTTATACTGTGGAAATAGGGAAGGGAAAGTTAGCTCTTTTAAATCCTTCCTGGATATTTAAAAATACATGTCATAGTTTTGTAATGTAGTGGAGCGAACATGTTTGGTTTTTCAAAAATATTTCATTGCTTTATTTAAATACATCTTGTATGCAATATCTTGACAGCATTGTATTCATGCCTACATAAGCTAAGTTTATGCATTAGTTATGTTGTTATTCAATGACATAATAGAAATAAAAAAGAATTTTGCTCTTAAAGTCTTTTATTGCTGTAGTCTAATAGTGTAGAAGTTATTTTGATATAATTGTAAATTGAAAATAAATAGTAAAAAATGAATATTTTGTTTCTAGATGGCTTGCTTCCTTACCATCTTCTTCTTAAGTATCTGTGTTTACTCAACTGTCTTCAGGATTCGAGTATTTAATTATTATTATTTAGCGTCACACCATCAGACAGATGCATACAGTCTCCTTTTCAGTGGCATGTAAGTACAGCATGTATTTTGTGGGCGAATTTATATTGATTCTGGGGTTGCCTTTTAAATATAGGCAGTCCCCGAGTTACGTGGATCCGACTTATGTCGGATCCCTACATACGAACGGGGCTTTTCTCACCACGGAGCAAAGCCGCGGAGGACGCGGGCAGCGGGATCGCCGAGACGCGCCACGGTCCCACCACCCGTGTCCTCCGCGGCGAGAAAAGCCGCTCAGCGTCCCCCTGGCCTGCTGGGGGGG